TCAGTGATCATACCAGTGGGAAGCCCTCCGGACAAGCTTGTACGAGGTTTTACAATTTTCGCTACAGACTGAACGTTGTTTGTTCGTGTAACCCGGTCGCATTCTTGTTTGATTGCCTTCAGTAACTTATTCGTATTGAAGTTCTCGTACGCAATTTTTGGTGAGAAAATGGATCAGAATTCATTAGATAGACAGAAATTTCTGGCATGTCTACGCATGCGGATAAGTACATTTTATGGGACGAAATTCACCTCCAGCGTTCCGTTTGCTACTGATACCATCGGGTAATATGACCGTGGGTTACATTTATGAAACCATAAAAGATATCACATGATTCACGGGTTGAACTACTGGCGGAATAACAACCCCAGTCCGAGCACGGCATCAAATACTCCGTTTCATCCCATTTAGCATTTTTATAACACCCAGTTTCGGCGGATTTTGACTCGGGAACTGGCGCAATGCTAGGAGGCAGTCAGAAGTCATCAAACACTACTCTGTGATCGCCGCCTGGAAATTCTGAACCAAACTTGAAGGGTAGATGGCAATAATCAATTACTTTAACGAGGTCTAGTATACTCTTCTGTCCAGCTAGTTCCATTATATGCTGGTGACGTCCAGCAAAATCTGCCGGGTTAATAGGCTTACCAAAGTGAATAGAAGTAATTGGCTGCCGTACGGTGTCCGGCAAACTTAAGTCTCCACATATATGTTTCGCGGAGTAGGGCACTTTTACTGGAGGCGGAAACACCTCAGCCACTCTGTCAACATAATCTACAGTAGAGCAAGGGGGACGGCAGATGCGCCGTTGGGGAAAATTGTGGCAGTTGAAAACCTTACCACAGCCCACAATCAGCCACTGAGCAAGTTAAGTTTTGAAGTACTGAAGTCTGTCGCGGACGTAGTGCAAATGATACATACATCACCTATATTATTATATCTGTCTTCTGTGAATAAATCATAACCGTCAGCGGAGACCTCAGCGTCAGGAGTATCTGAAATACGCCAAGCTTCAGTGATAAATTTCGGGTAGGGGTTAAACGAAATCGATAACATGGAGATCCCACTCATTTTGTTGAGCCTGTAACGGACGTTATCCAGGCAGAAGTGCGAAGAATCGAACAAGTGGTAGCACTTAAACATGTCTTCGAACAACGTGGTTCCCTAGGTTAGGTCAAACTGTAGTGGTGAGAAAAATGGGGCAGAGTTAGAGTTTAGGGCAGCGCTGGGAGAATGAGATGTTCTTGGGTTGCTGCTGGTGTTATCTCTTATCGCGTGCAGTGTTGACCTACTATGAGACAGATGGGTGAGGGATTTCTGTGACATTTTCCCTACCATCGTGGTGGTTGTGAGCCAGGGCAGAAAGCAGCTAGCTAGAGAAGGTCGTCAGTCGAACAAAGAAGGGTGTAATTATCTGTGCAGCACAAAGAAACTGGGATTTTTAGCATGGGTTCATGGTATGGACATCTGTTGAAAAGGCTAAAATCAGCCATGTAAACCAGTGGTTGGACCTCTGTCTGGGGATGAGTAGCATTTATTATGCTGGGGATCCAGTATCTTAGGCTTTGAATGAACAGCAGGCTGAAGGTTGAGCGGTGATATCAGGGTAACGCATTGAGCATACAAAGGAGCGAAAAGTTGTGTAAATTACTTGGGGAAAAAGCGAGCGTTTCCATGGCAGCTTGTGGTCTCCTTACTATGGGAGTTGTTCGTGTCATAAGTATCCCTATGCGTGTACCCTTTCATCTTACCACCATAGTTTACGAATCCCACCTTTCTGCTAGTTGGTGAAGGTACCGTGGTGCCTAGTATCTTGCCGATGGACCCCGCCAATGTGTAGGGGAACGAGGCCATTCTATGAGTAGTTTTACGGCTGCTAGGTTTAACAGGCTGAGTATAACTATTCTGAGGATAACCAGTTCGCTTACGTGACATAGACTTAGGCGGTAAATCAGAACTAGGGGTGTTGGGCTTGGATATCCAAATGTGGCACTTTTGGATCGTGCACTGTTTTTACTCCCGAAGTTCACCGTTGCAGGTACGAGTTTCGAGGGGGAAACGCTCATAAGCAGGGCAATGTACGAGGAAACTAATCAATACCTAGCGATACCTCCTTAGCCAGCACTAGGAACTAATAAGAGATGCCATTAAGGCGGCGATTTCTAAAAACGCCCTCCTCGTGTTGACGACAACCAGAAAGCAGACCTCATGGCCAAAACGAGGCACGGAGCACCTCCCAAAAGTCAAGTTGAAAGCATGGTATAATTGGTAGCTCTCGAGAGAAGGGGATAATCACGACACATATACAGCTCTACGAAATCGATGTGGAGGGGAGGAATGTCGTTTCAGTCCAAACTCGTTAGGAAGCTTGAGGTAGGCCCAGAAATCTGTAACGAGTTGAGGCGAGGAGAGAATCTACAAGCCATGGAGCATACTTATTCAGAGCCCGAATGGATAAAACCTTTCCGGACAGGTCGCCAAAATGTTATGCGTGGCCTTTGGCACGGCCCAACACTCCATCACACAAGCAGGTGTACCCGCAGCCTGAACAGTCCCCAACGTTGCCCGGCGCAACGAAGTAAAAATAACCCGTGCTGTTTTTCTCAACAAGCTATCAAAGCTAGTTGCTGGCAAATCCCCAAGGTGTGATGACATTCGCCCGTCTGTGGTGAAACAGTATGCGGGCACCCTAAGTGCTCCTGTTACAAATTTCGCCTGCTGCTCGCTTTTGTTATTCACTTTTCAGATTTACTTAACCAGTCCTGCATTCAAATGGAATCCTACAAATCGCATTCGTCAGCGGGAAATATTGCCATCAAAACCTGATGACGAACGCGCACACCTCAAGGTCATGACTGTGATGCGGCCTCACCTTCAGGAATATTGGATGATTCAAACGATGACCGGATAATCTTCAAATTCGAACTGAGCCTGCTTCAACATGCTTCCTATATGCCATAAATCACAGCATCTAATGTATAGCATAACATTGTACATAATAGTCATCTCTCATTACCAAAGTGATCAAACCTGTAAAATGGTTTGTATTCATGTAACCTTTGTTGTATGAAATATATTACCATTATTATTATAAGTGGCCTGCTCTGCAATTTTTTCAACACTCTAGATGAACAAAGACTCCTACGAGAGTGGAAGTGCTCCACCCTCTCTCTTATCTTCAAAGCGGGAGACAGGAGGAACCCGAACTGTTACCGACCCATAGCAGTAATATCAAAATTTATTGGAAGTGTGATAGTCGCCCGCACCAGGCAATATCCGGACACGAAGCAAGAACTCAGTGGTGCCCAGCACGGCTTCCGAAAGGTTAGGCCCTGAGCCTTCGGCCTCATGATAGCCCATTACCACTGGACAGCATACTGGGATCTCAAGGCCCCAGTCCCCGCGATTTTTCTGGATTTTGTCAAAGCCCTTGGCACAGTCTCACACACCGTCCTAATACAGAAAATAGCTGGGTTGGGAATCGACGGGCAGATGCTGTCGTGGCTGCGGAACTACTTAGACACTAGGGAGCTCTGTACGACAGTCAACAGGGTCTATTCGACCTGGGGAACATCATCTTCCAGTGTATCACAAAGAGCAACCCCGGGTCCTTTGCTGTTTTCACTATTCTTGCATGACCTCCTGCTGAATATCGGCCCTCCGGTTCTTTTGTACACCGACTATGTCACGTCGTGGAGGGTGGTAACACGCGAAACGGAGTCGGGCGAATTACAGAACGACCTCGAAACACTCGAGGAGTGGGTGAAAAATAAAGAACTGGCATTTATCCTGAATAAATAATGGTCCATACGTTTCCTCACTGCTGATCCACAGAAGGTATCTTGCTCTGTCTGCGGTTCACACCTTTGTAATACCGCTAGCAGAGAAAGACGCGGCTTTAGTGGTGACGCAGAAACTAGGCAAAAGTTTCAATTATTTAGGGGATGCCCCAAAAATATGCCGCGTACTACATCTAGGTGCCCTCACCCCAGAGCTATTTTTGAAGCCCTATGAAACCTGCACGCGACCCCGTTTGGAGGTCCATAGCGTCTTTACTCCATCACACCCGAAAAGAGGCAAGAACTTCCGGAAGAATGTTTGGAGGCCAGCCGCAAAGGATGTTGCAAGGATGCACCCAAAACCATACTGGGATACCGTAAAAAGTTTAGGCCTATGCTTGCCTAGTTGCGAAAGGTTACGAGGTGATTTGGTGATGACTTGCAAGGTACTGAATAACGCAAGTCACCCGGACGGAGGAATACTACCAAGTGAACACTATGGTGGTCCTCGTGGAAACCCTGAGAGAGATGGCCACCAAAGATCAAAAACTCGTTTACACCCACTTTCATTCTCCCTTCTAGTCTGCAGGTACTGGAATACATTAGTAGCAGAGGTGGTCTGCGCTACATCTGTCGAAAGTTTTGAGAAAGGGCTAAACAGTTACGCTGAGACCCAGGGTTAACGCTCATCTCCTTGGAATACGAACTAAACTGAAGAAATCAACTGCTGTCACAACGTTCCAATTCTGTTACCTCTGCACTGGTTTTCTTTCCACTCTAATCATCCAAACCCCTTTTATCCCTCTCACTCGCTAAGAATTAGCCTCACTCACCTAAGTTCTACATATCTTTGCACAGCTACTTGGATGCATGTAGATTACTCCATCAGTCCACTTTTCTTTGTCTTTTACCTTTCTGGGTTATCTCTTCACTGTCGCTAACTCCCTGTAACTACTGGTTCAAACAACGATTCGGTAACTCAACATTTGAAGAACCAATCTGCACCATAGTTCCAGGTAAACTAACCTTGACTCAACCTCCTGTTCTGTATACCAGAGCTATAGCGGACGAGTGGCTGTGTCTACTGCATCGGAGTCCGTCGAAGACCTGGAACTGTTCGACAAGATCAAGAAGCCAGCAAGAGGAAATCGACTGGTTTACACAAGCTCGTTAAACAGATATTAGATCGTTGCCTATCTACGGACTCGGCAACATTTTAAAATGAATGATGTCTTGCAGACATTGCCAAATGCTAATTCCATTAGGATAGCAGAAGAAGCGATTTCTTTACTAAGCACTATATGTAAGGGGTTTAATTTAAAATAATAAATAATTGATGATTCAGATACATGTATTAATAATGGAAATATCCAGTCTATTACTGAAAATGATGTTGATAACATCAAATCATTGTTAGAGGGTCTAAGATCACTTGCAAGTGAATTCGGATCACTTTAATTTCCGCTAGAATATTATGAGGTGTCAAGCCCATCAAGTTCTGGAAACGGAGTCTATTAAAGTTGCCATCCTGAGGACAAAACTTCAGCAGTTTAAAGAAGAAAAGGTGAAAGAAATCTTTGGTAATTTGAAGTTCTTAGTCTGTCACCCATGCCTTAAGATAAGAGGAACCTTGTGAGGATGTTGAACGAGAATGAACTAAATAATCTTGAAGAGTCTCTTCGTATCATAAAAAGTAATTACCAGCAAGGTGAACTTGCTCTGGAACAACTTACTCGCAAACTGGAATTGTTACGGTAAGTCAGTTAAATGTTCCGTTTCATAGCATGGTTGACACTTCTGAATGGTTGTTGCAGCTACTGACCATCTCTAAAAAGGGTTATAGGTTATTTCTGTGTGTCATTTCAGAAACTGCCACTTGTAGGTCAGGTAGCCTGTGCACATTTTCGCTCAATTATCTCGCTGAATATCCAGTCTACCCTCAAAAGCTTTCAACATGGGATGTGCCGCTCCCCTTTTCAGTGACGAGTTTCAGTCATTGAAAACCCTGTGTGAAAACTTAAGACCCATTCGTAGTTTAGACGAACACGGCCTTCCAGCTGTTCTGTGATGATCTCTTGGATAAGAAACCCTGAAGAGAGACAGGCTTCCAAGTCATCACTTAAAGTATGGAGTGCAGTTTACTAATGACATGACGGTGAAGAAGTATTTGAACTTTCCTGCCACTTTTTATGGAGATGGTAAAGTCCTCTAAATAACTTAGTAACTCCCCACTATACCTGCTTCAAAGTGCCTACTTCTGTCTTAAAGCAAATAGCTTCTGCTTTTCTGCAGTATATAAGGTAGTCTTTACTCGCTTAGAACAATGATTCCTAGGCAAACATGCGGTAAATAAATTTTAATGAAAAGAGGGGTAAAAAGTGTGAAGAGAGAAAAACATTTCCTTGTCATTTTAGCCGTAAGTCACTGCTGAAACTCCCTGTTGTACTCTTTCACCTACTCCTTTTTTGAATTATTTTTCTTATTACTGTTGACTTGAGATATGAGCCCAAGGAAGTTATGGTTGAAATACTTGAGCAGTAAGTGGTTCTGTATTAGCCTTTTGGTGCTTTTCTATGTTTGAAGGTGACCATGGTCCTAACTGCATCCTATATTGGTTCAAAAGCATAAAGTTATACCTTTAGGTTGACTCAGACATCGGTTTTAAATTACTTGACACTTCATCTTTTGCTCAATATGAAAGAAAAATCCATCTCCTAAGAGCTGAACAAAAGAAAACTTCCCCTGACTTGTCCCTGTGGTCATGATTGAGTAACTCTAATCTATTTGTCTAACCACCTAGTTCTGCTTAAGATAATCAGGTGAGTGTGAATATAAATATGCATTTTTTAATATTTTGCGTTCACTGTTTCCATGTGTTGCGCTTTTCTGTGATTTTTAGGATATTATGACTATATTGCCATACTTATGTCAGTGGTTTGTAGTGAAAGCTAGATAATCTGGTTTTGTGTTAAGTTTACGTTCTCCTAAGTTTTTGTCAGGATGAGATGCAGGCTGCCTAAGGAATAAAAAAATTGATAAAATGCTAGTTTCAGCCAAACCAAAAAACTACTAAAACCCGTTGTATGACTGAGCTTAGTTTTAAGTCACATAGAAAGAAGTAGGTTTACTGAATGTGATTTCAAAGACTGGAGGGGTTATTGTTGAAAGACTACGTGAAATGACCAGAAATCAACTGGAACAACACTAACGTGAACCCTTGAAAACATTATTGCCATATACCTACTTGATGTTTTCCAGTCTCGTCAGTTACTCGATGGATTTCAACGTAAGATATAGAATAACTGTGCACTTGTCAAGGCTGCTACACGTCCCACCAATGTCTTTTTTCTCATCCATTCTGCTACTTTCATTAGATAATACTTTGAACTTTTATACGAGATCATATCCAGCTCTAGGTCTTAATATATACCAAAGGCCAGAGAACACCGAAACCACCACCAATCTTTTGTTGTCGTAGTTGATTAACTACATGAATATTCGAAATGTGCATCTTTTCTTGTGTAAAGCATATTTGATGACCTAAAAGAATAACGGTAATACAACAAATCTATGCTGAAACATATGTTGCTGCACACTGATATTTAGCACAATATGATGAATATTCCTATGCTGTTTCACATTTGTTAAATAGAAAAAATTGATATAAATCAGGCAGTCCAATTTCAGAATGTTAGTGTGTTGTTAAAAAGGCAAAAATAGAACACTGTGAACACAAGTTTTAGGGTGGCAAAAGTAAGCCTGCATATGTCGAGTAAACGATGAGTTTCATTGGTCAACAGACTGCCAAATAACTGCTTTGCAGCGTAAAATTAGGATCACAACTACAATTAATGGATGAAAGACCGCAATTATTCATTCATTTGGTGATGCCGTAGCTATAAGGCAAATCCAGTCCAACTAATAGGTTCAAGAAATAGTGGTCAGCCTAGCAGTTTTACAGGAATAGATATAAACTCTCAGAGAAGTCTTTGGTGTTTTAACCAACCTTGACCTTTCGATTCTTAATTTTACCATTCGCTTAATTCCGAATAGTTACCAGTATATATTTGGTAGTACCGCTCTTAACAATCACTTGACATCTGTTTCCATATTTATTACGTATATCTACGTAATCGCCTAACCATGTTTGCATTCCTCATTCGGTTAATCCAGTCAGCTCAGCATTGCGCACCAAAGTTTACTGGAATGGAGTTAATGAATCTCCTCACAACTTTTAGGGAGGAAGAACTCAGCGAAACTAGAAATGTTGACACAGGGGAATTCACGAAATGAGAATAGTTTGACAGTTGCTAAAACTGGCAAAGGGAGTAGACAGCAGTTACGAATAAGGCGGATCACCTAGAAAATTCAGTCATGACATATCCAAACAAGACCACATAAGAAAATTAAAAAAACAGAAGGCATAGTTATAAACAAGAATGAAAAGTTCACAGTTGATCTAACACGCCCAGTGAACCCATTCCTGAGTCTCAGTGGTTTCGTTTGATACCAAGGTTTCAAATTGATATTAATTGGTCCAGGAAAATAAATATATAAATGGCTACATTTTTAGTTATTTTCTGCCTTTTTCCAGAGCAATAAACTTTGCTTGTCTAGTCTTATCTTCTGTCTTTCAATAAGAAAGTGATAGTATTCCAGTTGTCGGTATCCACTGTAATGTGCCGAAGTGTTATGAGTGTACAGAGACAGTTCTTTATTCGTAACCTATCAATTACGAGAAATCATCGATCAAGCTTTATTCAGTAAATTTAACTACACCATTGTAGATTCCCCATACCCAGGTAAAAATCGTGTATTGACCATAGACTGAGCCAGTACTCTGAAATTTGCCTTCCCTTAGAAAATTAATGCAGATTTCCATCGGTTTGTGGTGTAATAATATTATCAATTATTTTAAATGCTGCTCATGGCAGATGACAAACGGTTTTCAAGGATCAGAGCCTTATTATTATCATTATTATTACCATACAATTTCAGAGTATGAAACTTTCACCTATGTAACATTCTACATTTCTTCATTAGATGAAATGAGCAGCAGAAATGAACCCGTTTTTACACATGAATGCCTCTTGTAAATGTCTAGTAACGCTGTGGTTGTTAAAGAATAAAATATAGCTCACATAACTCTAATAACCGTAACTGATGAAAGCAGAAATCCATTAAGGTGTTGTTGATAAGTTATAATGCAGACGGTTTTTACCAAGGACGTCGCTTTAAGTTGAAGGGTACAGTTATATTGCAGTCTATCGGTTAAGTGGTAATGCATTCTCTATATGACTTCAGGGTTCCAAGTTCGACCCAGTATATGTTACAGAAAGTGTGCTGTGTACGGGACACATATTTGAGCGGAAGATCCGTTCACTATTACTTACTTTCAAATCTTTTTACTACAGATATGAATTCAGGATAAAAACTAATTTGGATGTGAAAATATTCTGAAAAAGCATGTAACTGGGAAGATATTTTCCAGCGGATCCTTAGTCAAAAGCATTTGTAAAATAGATGCACTTTCAAATTATCATTGAATGAGACTCACTAAGACTTACTTTGAAGCAATTAAGTGATTTTTCAACAGGGTATTCTATAAAAAGAAAATAGCCCTCCTTAGTAATGGAGAGATATTGAGAGTAGGGTAGGAACAGTGATTCATAAATAATGTTGTATAATAATATTACAGAAATTTGGTCGACTATAGAAGCATGCAAAAGTCATAGACTAAATAAATAGATTTAAGTCTACGTAAACATTCAGACGGAGTCCCATAGCAGCGTTCAATGAGGTGTTCTTTGATGTAGCATTGAGTGATGTACTATTACTTACTGGATGACGCTCCAAGAACGGTTTGTTTCTCATATTCATATCAAGGTGATAATGAGACTTTCTTGTTGTTTTGTATAGCTTTACTGTCTCTCATTCTTTTATTTTAATGGAGATGGAAGATCCCAAATATCTCGAGTTAAAGCTGAATAACTTCTATTAAATATGTTTGTTGATTCGATGAATGAGGATTCAGTGATCATCGTTTCTTCCCACCCAATTATATTAGTTTTTAGGACTTTTGATATGTTTCAGTGACCTAGACTTATTGTGTGACAACTAGGGCCACTGCTTGGCTACCAAAATCTCATGATTCACACAGTGAAATCAAATGACTGGTATTAAGTTGACTATCTGGAACTGAAGAGTTTTGTTAGTGAAAATGAACTCAATATATGGAAATCAAAATGATCTTGAAAGATAGGGGATAATTAGTACATTTAAAGAGACAGAAATTGATCAAAACACTAGACAATTATATGAAATATAACCCAAATGTGAATAAAAGAGCGTGGACACATTTCAAAAAGTAAAGGAAAGAAAAGATCATTCAACAAAAAAATATCCTTTTATGATGATGATGATGATGTCACTTTATAAGTCGTACAAACGTATAACAGTCTCTTTATTACTGGACAATGGGGGTATTTCTGGATCATTAAGGTAAAAACTGAAATCAAGAAAGGAAGGTCGTTGCATAATAATCTTTTAGACGATGGAAATAGTGAGAAAAGTAAAATGCTTGACAAGGTGAAAATTTAAACTTATTAAAAGTTTCTACCATGTAAGAGTGAAAATTGTTGATAGATACGAAATGTTGGCAAAAACACAAATCAGGAATTCTTTCAAATGCAGCCTTCTTAAAAAACTGCTCTCTAGGATGCAGCGTTATGTTATCCAGAGCTCTGATGGAGGAGATTGAACATATCAAGGTGTGGTCCCGACCAGTAAATACTTTAAATATTGACTTGAAATATGTAGTTGGATGTTCGCTATGAGGAATGAGTGCTCCAGATTTTAAATGTACCTTTTAAATAACTTCAACCAACTGAAACTGGTACGGAGATTGTGAGAGTTTATGATATCACTGGGTTTCTCAAAAAGAAGTAGGCGGAACTGGATTTAAAGTGTGACCTGATGACTGAAAGATGATTGTTTTAGCATATGAGTCACATCTCTACCCTCCATATAAAAGGAGACTATGTTAGATGACTTCAGGTAATCAAAATGGATTTGATTGGTGCCTATCATCCTCATAATTTTCAATGTTTTATCGATTTGACCAGTGTCTTACAATATTTCTCTCTTGTGTTTGAAATTTTTCTACTTCTTTAAGGCTAATTCAGGTTAGAAACTTAGAATGATACAATTTTGTTCTGTGTTTATCAGCTGAATGTATCTGCATCCCAGTGAGTGACGTCGTACACAGATATTCTTAAAATACTGATTTCCGGGATGTCAGGGACTCTAGACAGACAGTTCCTCAATTCCTTGCACGATTGGAACCAAGATTTAGTTAAATTGTAGCCACATGGTGTAAGCTGACTTGACGATCCTTCGTACTTCAGTCAAGATAGAGAGTGACTCAGCACACCTGGCCTAAACACATCTCTTTGTGCATAAATAATTACCGACAATTTGAGTATCTATTCTATCGTCTCGGCCAGTTTGAATAAAACTTACAAAACACCGTTCGCAGCATAAATTAACCTCACTTTATTTTATGTTTCAGTCGTCAAGTTGATTATAAGTGAAACACAGGATGTGCGCTTCATCCCACTTGAGACTAGTTAGCTAGGTGTATCTGCATCCCAGTGAGTGACGTTGTACTCCCACTGACACTCGAACCACGGACCCATCACTTCAAACCTCATATCATTGTCCACTGGACCACCGACCACGAAACCCATCACTTGTGCAACAGGTTATCCCTTCAGCTGCAGACAACCTTCTAGAAAATTGTAATTAATCAACAGAAATATGATCAATATACCTTGAATGTAGTCAACATATTTGAGAGGTGGATTCAACAATCAGATGTATGAATATAGATGTAAAGAATAAAGAAGGAATGAAGACATATGTGTCTTATCATTGTTTTCTGATTCTAATTATTGAATATGATAGTCGTTTCAGATGAGGTTAGAAATGACTGCAATTGAAATGAGTGGGATATGGTTGACAAGAATAAATGATTATATGAAAAATCATTTAAGTCGAAGTGGTGAGTGAGTGAGTGAGTGAGTGAAAGAGTGAGTGAGTGATTGAGTGAGTGAGTGAGTGAGTGAGTGACAGTTGCGATGTTGTCAACAGTAATAGTGAAATAAATAGTATTTATACTGCTACCAGTAAAGATGTATAATGAGGGTGTGAGGGAATATTAACCCATAGAAAAGGGTTGATTCAGATTTGTTGTTTCAATATAGATCTCTGTGTCTGACAGTCCCCTTTTGAACGAGTCACTTGATGATGAGAATATCACTTCTTCTGAGAGTCGCTTCCAGGAGTTGATTACTGGACTCAAGAACCACTACTCTGCGGAGACTATTTTCGTTCTTTGTTTTTGTATTCTTTTGGTATGTCCTGTGTGGTTTGCTACCTAGAGGGAAGGAGAAGAGAAGGTAGATCAGGTCCAAAGTCATTTCTTAGAATCTTGTGCAGCATGATTACGCCTTCCTTCTGCCTGCGATAGGATAAAGAGAAGAGATCCAGCTCCTTAAGTCGATCTTCTTAAGTCAAGGCAGCCATCGCAGCGAACATAAGAAATGGGTGCCCTCTGAACCCTTTCCAGAAGGTCTCAGTCACCTTTCAGACAAAGATTTTTCGCCTGTGTACGGTTTCTAGTTTAGACTTAACTTAGGATGTGTATTAGATGGTGAACATACCACTACTTATTTTTGTGAAAGTTCTGCGTAATGCTTGTAAACCTTCTGATACCAAGCTATTTTCAAATACTCTGGTAGGTTTGAATTCTACGGAGTGCACTGAGTTCGCGCCAATAGCTAAGGCTTTGAATGTTGGGTTGTCAATGGTTCTGCTATAAATTAATGGTAAATCTACACCACTTTTAAGCTGTCTGATTTTACCCAGTACAAGATTTTTAATAACTCAGATGGAGGAGCATGGTTATAGATGTGCGAATAATTGGTCAAAGTTAGATACGTTACTTGACCTACATTCTTCTCTGAATAGACAGACAAGATATTTCTCCGACGTAAGCTGTGAAAGATCCCAGTTTATGCAGCTTATGTAACCAGTCCCACAGGAGCAGGTAAGCCGACAGACACAAAAAGGATGCCTTTCAAAAAACTTTCCAACCAACTGTTGGTTGGGGAAGATACTTTCTAAATTTCTTGTCGTTAAGCTTATACCTATCCTGCTCCGCTGAAGTTGTTAAGACATTTTATTCCTGTAATTCACCTACGTTACTCCACTTTGCCTTTTAAGTTTGAAATGATATGCTATTGTCCAACGTATCTGGTCACTGATCAGCTGTTCATTTTCTTTTAATAAATTTAGATTTCGCGAATTGAGGTCGAATGAGGAGAACATTGTGACAATTGAAGCTTTAAACAGCTGTCTGGATAATAAAGCTAATAAACAAATATTTCTAAATCAAAAGCTTGAAGAAATTAAAACGACTGAATTGAAGGTGATGCATTCAGAGGCTGTTCAATATCCAATGGAATGAGACTTAATTGTTTTACGTAGACTTCGGCCTATTATTAATTTGTTTAAACCACCTAGGCTGTGTAGATATTCTGTGATTGGACTACCGTCTAAGGTCGCTTGGCGCATTCATTGATGATATGTGAATGGCCCTTTCGAAAAGGATTATTGGATTATTCATGTAGTTATTACAGTGTTCACTTTGTTACAGATAAAGCCAAGGTAGTTTTTATGACGAGATAACACCACTGAAAATCTGCGAGTGATGTGCAGCTGTTGCTTCCTATTTCGGAGCTCATCAGGAGTGGGTACCCATGACTTTGTGAGGAACCAAGCCCAAGGCCTGAGTTCTCGCAGTGAGCACACAACCTTCCAGCCAATAACTAAAAGTTCTCTCGTTCAAATTTTCTTGATTTTATCAATTCATGACACACTGCAAGCATCCTCCGGTGACGTTGGAACTCAAGTTGATTGACCCCACATGTCATGGTTTCTAATTGCAGCTTCAAGAAATCTATGTGACAGTTTGTGACTGATGAACTCTGGAGGGTAATTCATTCACTTGAGGATCTAAGGGTGAGGGATGCGCACCACTGAGGAGTTCTTAAGTAGAATAAAATGGCTTTTCACTGTTTCCTGGTTTTAAATTGGTGTCACTTCATGATGTGTATTACTTTGAAGTCAACAGTCTGGATTAAGTCTTCTGTTAGGGAGTGAAGTTTTGCTTTAAGTAAACTCCTCTTATCTATAACTGATACAAAGATAGAGGATAGAACATTGAACAGTCTGATGTGACTAGAAGATTGTATGCAAGGAATAATAATACATTTAAGTAAGTTAAGCAGCATACGTTCTGATTTTCATCTAATAAGAAACGGTGCACAACGTGGATATAACTTCTGTGGTTCAGTAATTTAAGAGGCTGAACTTGTCCGGTCTCATATTCATATTTTCCATTGGTGGATTTTTGTAAACTAATATCTGAATTGCGTCTACCATAGTTTGTTTAATGCTTTTACGTGTCATATGGATTTCAAAGTACTTTAGTGCTGCGCCACCCAGATCAGATGGCTATCTGAATACCAAGTAAATTTATTTCTTGAATTCTCCCCTTCTTTAACGATGAAAAGATAAACATACAGACGGATAGGCAGACAGGCAGTCAAACAGACCAACTGACTGAATCACTAGAGCCTCTTGAGATAGATTACAAAATATCATCCATTCAAGTTGTCACTATTCCTAACATGACAAGTAAAGTTGCAACTAGTTATTTTAGAGATAAAATAAGTTTTATCGTTTGTTAACAATGCTTTCCTGCTTTTTGTTAGTCTGTAGAAAATTGTTGAAGGAAGAGTCCTTGATTTCCCTTTTGCGGTTGTCATCATTCTTTAAGTATCAAGGGAATTCATATGTGACCTGAGAATTGACTATCGCTTATTTTGCACCTACGGTTAAAGTCTTTCATTGTTCAGATAGTCAAGACTGAAATCTGTCTTCCTACAGTTGCATAAATGGATCAGCACATGATGTGCAAGGCTTAAGTATATGTGAATGTCATTCTGAAAGTAGTCAGCCAATCAAGAGACAGGAGAAGTTGTACATACATTTTTGGAGGGTAATCACGTTTGAATTTCGTTAGGTTGTGCTGATACCAGGCAAACATAATTTTTTGAAACAAGTCAAACTGATAGAGTTGTCAAGGCGGATGATCGTGCATCAATCAGTTTTAAGGCTGATGTGTTGTAATTAGTAGTCATATCTTCCAATATCAGAGGTGGCATTGACATGACTGTGATTGTCGAGGATCGTAATCTCGTGACTCATTTGTTTGTGTACACAAGACAAAGTCGTTTCCTTATTAAATGTTTGCGTGCGTAACTATTATCTTAACCTGGTGTATCATTACACTATTATACTTGTATTTCTATTAGTTGATTTCGTTGCCACACTGATTGATAAAGGTACGATATCAAGTAATCCAGTGAAAATACTATTGGTTGTGGTTTTGCGTTACCTAAGGCAACTGCAATTTATTTGTAAATTTCTAAAATACTTGTCTGATTAGTCAGAGCAAAACCCCTAATATGAGGTTAAATTACTTGATTTTCTGATCACATTACAAAATTATTTAACAAAATTTTATCGACACTGTGAACGAGATGAAACGATATTACTGTGGTATTGCCTGAACAACTTATTGATGTTGAGTTTCTTCTAGGATATTTCTGCAAACTGCTGTTTCCAAATGTTAGCACATGTACCTTTTTAAGAATGAAAGCAGAAACAGGAGACTGAACAACTGATATTCTACGTTATTGGTGTCTGTAACCACAACTCTTGGTACAAAAAAACAATCTGAGCTGAAAATGTTCCTTTCATCAATAAATTCTTGCTAGGTTCAACGTTTGTAAAATGAAGTTATACAACTTGAATATAGGGCAAGTTTGAGGCAAATACATTTTTCAAAATGTAAATGTAAATCAGGGACTGTAAGCGGAAACGACAAACAAGGAAGACAGGGGTAATCTTTAGTTGATTGAAGACCAAGAGAGGAATAAAATCTGAACGTTTTCCTTCTGAGTACAAGGTTCATGATTGCCACAGCATCAGTTTAGTAGGCGTTGGTGAGCCAGATGTAGTATTGTTTCTGGGTCATGATGTGTGTGTGAGTGACACTAAAAGCTCTGTTAACATCTACGCCTTGCATCTACTGGGTTGGCTGAGATGGAACTGTTAACTACTTTCAATTCACCTTTTCTAAACCAGGCCGGGACTTTTTCTCTTATTCGGAGACACATCCATTCTGCATAACTTGTTCTATAGGAACAGTTAAATAGATATATGCATAATCATGAGGAAGTAAGATTTGTAAAGCATGCAACCAAAGTTAAATTATGACGTCGACATCATTTATGCCAAACAGAAAGGGAAAATTATGCCTACTTTTCCGCAGTTTATAGTATAACATCATGAGTTTACTCATGAAATGATATACGGCCAGCTCAGTTCATGTGGATCGGAGTTTACTAGTTCGCGTTATATTTTAAAACCAGTTTCAAAGTCTTATTGAAACTAATGTACACTAGTCGACTACAAAGAGATAAAAGAACTTCTTACGAGTGGGTTGAAGCTTGTCACTTTTATCTTGAAATTAAATCGGTCTTGTTTATTTCTTTCAGCCGTGTATATTCTCAAAAGGTGTACACGCAGCCTGAATGTATCCACAATTTTCATGGTACATTTTTAAGCGAAATCTGTTATAGAAGGTCGCTCCTCCATGAAAGTATGATAGATTGAGTCTGTGTTATATTAGTTATGTAAGTTTTCAAGCCTAAGATATGAATTCTATGCACTAGAAATTGTAACAGACAAGTGGAATAGTCTTCATTTTCCTTTTCCACTCTTATCCAACTAACTGGTGAACATTATACATCAATGGGAGTAGTTTCTAACTATTAGTTACTGTGATCAACTTCATAATCTAAGCAACACAGTTCATCAAATATATGTAAATATGTACAATGCATAGTGTTTTCCAGGAATATATTTGGCGTTTCAAATAGGAAAAAAAAACCAAATTTTAGTGCACCTATAACGGTTAAGCTGAATTTAATTTAAAAATCTAGTTACAATGCAATCTGTTCTCTACAAATCAAACAGCTTATTTCTAGAGCTGAAATACCTTCATAATGCTCACTGAGACATGAATAAAAAGGCAGTTCAATGAAGAGATCTCTTTTCAAGGAATTTTTTTTGCCAACAATGTATTACAGATATAAATAACGATAATGTTGGTTATAACTATAACAAGGTTACCAGTTGATGATGTAGATATTGAACGGTAATAAAAAGGTGTTATATAAGATGTTCATTTCTTTCAATGGGAGAGGAAACATGGTGAAGCTAATGATCAAACAAAGGATTAGGTAATACGAATGAGACAAGTGAGCCTAGATAAAATTAGTTATTGTAAAAATAGAATGAAGTATCACAGAAAACTATTACATATGAATGATGCCATAGATGATGAACTGAACCTTCTAGGAAGCATCTTGAATGGAGATGGATATTAACCTATCGGTGCAGATAAACGCATCAAGACCAAGACTTAGAGAGATCGCCTCAATTCTCTGTCAAAGAAGACGCTGTACATCAACTTTGAATTCAAAGTTGGTCAGGCTGCTGACATTCTAAACCGAAGCATTTCAGATACTCTGTGCGAAGAACCCTCTTTGTTACTCAATATTCTGTACCAATGTAAAAGATAAGGTCCATTTTCATATGTATATGCCAATTCATATACTAATTCAGAGCTGGGTATATTGATCGCTCAATTTAGGTGCTCTACAAAAGGATGCAGCAACACTCTTTTGCATGGTTGCGAAGAGGTAGTGGTGGTTCCATTTGTGGTGAAATAACTGAACACCTCATTGACAGTGTTTTTATTTTTATTTTCCCCTTGGGTTCCTAGTACAACATACGGCTTCAATAGCACGTCCCCATTGCACTCTGTTCTCTGCAGTCTTTTCAACCTGCTTCCACCACTACTCACAACCTTTCATTTCTTCCTCACACCATCTCCTTCTTGTCATTCACCATCAGGCTGGACGCCCAAATCCTCGTTTCCCGTTTGCAGTCCGCTCGAGGGTCTGGCACGCGATGTACCCAATCGGCCTCCTCAGTGTAAGCCCAATCCATCTCCACTGTCGTCTTCTGCATAGTTGTTCGGCGACAGGTTCTTGGTTGGTTCGTTGCCAGCCAGCCAGAGTTCCTCGTTGCTTATCCTTGTCATTCTGGTCATCTGATCTTCAGTGATGAGGCAGTGTAGGCATTTGTTGATGAATGTCTGTAGATTGTTGGAAGTGCTGTTCGTGACACACCAACTCTCTGAATGAAACATATAGAAGCACTGACTTGACTGAAGTAGTGTTGAAAATCCAAATCTTGTTCACGCTTTATGCTGAGTGGAGTGCAGTAGATCTTCACAGTGATTTCAGATTAGTAAAGCTTGTCTTGCTTATCCGATCCTTGTTTTGACATCCTCGTCTGTGCCGCCGCCTGTAGTTGAAACGATGCTGTCCTGCCTAGGTAAGTGAAAGATACTGCTTTCTTTAAGTTTCTCTCGTTAATGATGATTGGTGCTTGTTGTTGATGCTGATGTTGTTGGTTGGGTATCATCTACATCCACTTGAAGTCCCGTCCTCGCTGCCCTGTCTGTTCTGCCAACTTGTTAGTTTTTGCCTGTAGATCTTCGAGTTTGTGCAACAAGACACTAGACATAAGTCATCGGCGAATTCCAAATCTTCTTCTGGAGTCTTTTCATCAATCCATCCAGAATATGCCCATCTTCTCGCTCCTCATGGTCTGCTGCGTAATCCAGTCCACCACAATTAGGGAGGTCATGGGTGATTGTAGATAGCCTTGTCTTACTTCAGTCCCCTGTCATCATTTCAAAGGCATCACTGAGCTTTCCATTGTGGATCACTTGGCATGTGGCGTCTTCATATAGCTGTTGAATGTGGCTGGTAAAGATTTATGGCACTCCATAGTGTTGGAGCAGCTGCTAAATTACTTCTCAGTCGACGCTGTCGAAGGCCATTCCAAAGTCGATGAATTTGAGGTAGAGAGTTAACTGTCATGCTATACTCTGTTCTATGATGATCTCATCGACAGTGATCAAACAATATCAACAAATTTCCGTTTTAAACTTATCTACAGGGTGTAAAGGAATCTGTCAAACCTACACGGTGAATTGTATTTCTTGAACCAATATAACGTGTCATATCCAGATCAGCATCCTCATCAAAAATAGCAGACATATCATTCAAAGATTATAGTAATTTGACCAGACTGATGTGTTTTGACATAATGTAATCTGCAACCATAAATTTCAGTGGAGTTCCTATCACGACTCTATCTTTTTTTTCTATATAGTTGAAAGTGTATTAAACAATCGATATACTTGTCTATAAGAGCTCTTTTAAGTAATTTTTTTAGAATCTCTATGTCTAAATTATTCGAAGTGATGTTATTACATGCCTTACAGATAGTTTTATTAAACAGAACACTGGGGTGCATAATGAGTTAGGATCTAATGAAAATATGGCTTTACTCAGGATCTTTGAGAATATTAGTGGACTGGAGTGTACCAAGAATAAAATACTATGACAGTTGCCTTCAAACCAGTTACATTATTTCAGCTAACCATTGAACAGTTCACTAGTAAGGAGAACCAACTACATCCAAATCAAAGGAAGCAGTATTCCTACGTAATACACTTTGTCCGTCAGTACATACATCAAATTATTGAACCAATAAATTGAATGAATTCACAGAAATCAGAGGAAATTATTGCATTCTCTTCTCTTCATATTTTCCAAGTTATCTTTTAGTTATTCCTCGATTTGTTGTGTTTTTATTTGTCTCGCCTTCAGGTTTATCAAAGTTAAGTTGTTGAGATAATCAGCAGAAATTTAAAAAAGAACGTAACACATCTGCTTAGGGTTACTCTTACAACTGTCACTGAATGAAGCTGCTTTCATTGCATCAAAGTATAGGTGATATATAAATCGTTTAATCTGCGTTCTCTATCACATTCGCCCTACTCATTGGTACCAAACATTTATTCACTTCATATCCAGGAGAAAGAAGTTCAGAAGATGCTGGATCATTTGAATGCAGAAATCACTGAGGAACGCAGAAATGCAGTAAGGAGAATTATAAAACTGGAAGAAGAAACCGTAAGTTACTACAAGTGTATATTGCCAAAATCATGCAGAAAGCTGACGTCAAAAAACGTCACCGGAGTTATTTAACTACTTGTAAAATAATAGTAGTTAACTTTATATTACGAAATGCACAGGCTTATGAAAGCGCTGAATAGGAATATTTGGCACCTTCCAAATGTAAAGGGATGCTTCACAGCTGATCTACGTCGACTTCCACTTTCGACTGCATGAAAGGACCAGTGAGTTGTACAAACGTCCGCCTTGTACTGTTATATGGCTGTGATACGTGGCCCCTAAAAGTAGAAAATGTGAAGAGGTAACAGGTTTTTGACGGCAGGTATCTATCTATCTTAGTAAAAGTGGTTGTGGGTAGTGGATCACCATGTAAGCAACTTCAAGGTTGGGAGTAGGATCCCAGGCTGGGAGATCAAGTCAGTCTATAAACTTATTAATCCTCACCTATTCAACTGGTTAGGATACGTGAGCGTTGCGCATTTAGTGCCACCACCTATCTAGACGTGCAATCCTACCCCAAATAGTCACATGAGAAGGCTAAGCTAAGTGTCGTCAAACCAAGAGGTTATACCAGACCTTTATATTTCTAACTTTTCGCTTCAACTCTCTACAGAAGTCTAAACTGTCTGCCTATACTCCTGCACATATAGAGTATCAACAGCTACACACCCTCAATCATGTGGACGCAACTTCGTCACAATCCTACATACCTTTCCACTCTCCAGCTCCCTCAAAACGTCGAACACCCTAAGTAACCATCAACAGAGAATTCTTTCCACTTTATTACTCTTCTGTCTGCTTTCATATCACTATCTCTACTCACTTGTTTTATCCATTCGGCTGTAAAGTATGGTAACTGGAAGCAGTGCTATCCTTCGCAGGGCTCCACAGGATTCGGAGACCATGGTAAAATGGGGAATCTGTAAAAAAGCTTAGCAACAGCTACGCATGGAAGCACAACGGAATAGAATGTAGTGACTGTCCTTAGAACGATCTTAGTGGGATCAAGAGAGAGACTGATAACCAATCTTTGCTTATCAAACCAGAGACAAATACTTGCAACAGAAATGACTCAGCCCCTCCTTCAGATACAAAGTGGGTTCTGCAGCCTGCGTCACAAAGAAGGACCGAGAATCAGGAACATATAAATCATGTTCCAAAACTTTGAAGTTATCTTGACTATGGACAATACATTATACCTGGAACGAAATCCAGTAAATAATACTGTTTCACTATGTAACATGTCTAATAAATCAGCCAAAGTGCATCTATCAATTCACCGTGATAACAGAGAGATCGAAACCAACTAAGATTTCCGTGCATATTTATAAGGCTTTAAGTAGTCTCCTGGTCTATCCTAGGCATTAACTGGAAACTGAATGGAAGCTCCTAGTTCTAAAAGTGGACGAAACACTTTTCATCTACTCTAATTTATTGAATTTTATGCAATCCGAACAGTTCAGGTCAACCAGGGTATTCAGAAATAGCTTTACATCAATCATTTTCTATGAGTTAATATTCCCTCACATCCTCATTATACATCTTTAATGGCAGCAGTATAAATACTATTTATTTCACTATTACTGTTGACAACATCGCAACTGTCACTCACTCACTCACTCACTCACTCACTCACTCACTCACTCACTCACTCACTCACTCACTCACTCACTCACTCACTCACTCACTCACTCACTCACTCACTCACTCACTCACTCACTCACTCACTCACTCACTCACTCACTCACTCACTCACTCACTCACTCACTCACTCACTCACTCACTCACTCACTCACTCACTCACTCACTCACTCACTCACTCACTCACTCACTCACTCACTCACTCACTCACTCACCCACTCACTCACTCACTCACTCACTCACTCACTCACCACTTCGACTTAAATGATTTTTCATATAATCATTTATTCTTGTCAACCATATCCCACTCATTTCAATTGCAGTCATTCCTAACCTCATCTGAAACGACCATCATATTCAATAATTAGAATCAGAAAACAATGATAAGACACATATGTCTTCATTCCTTCTTTATTCTTTACATCTATATTCATACATCTGATTGTTGAATCCACCTCTCAAATATGTTGACTACATTCAAGGTATATTGATCATATTTCTGTTGATTAATTACAATTTTCTAGAAGGTTGTCTGCAGCTGAAGGGATAACCTGTTGCACAAGTGATGGGTTTTGTGGTCCGGTGGTCCAGTGGACAATGATATGAGGTTTGAAGTGATGGGTCCGTGGTTCGAGTGTCAGTGGGAGTACAACGTCACTCACTGGGATGCAGATACACCTAGCTAACTAGTCTCAAGTGGGATGAAGCGCACATCCTGTGTTTCACTTATAATCAACTTGACGACTGAAACATAAAATAAAGTGAGGTTAATTTATGCTGCGAACGGTGTTTTGTAAGTGTTATTCAAACTGGCCGAGACGATAGAATAGATACTCGAATTGTAGGCAATTATTTATGCACAAAGAGATGTGTTTAGGCCAGGTGTGCTGAGTCACTCTCTATCTTGACTGAAGTACGAAGGATCGTCAAGTCAGCTTACACCATGTGGCTACAATTTAACTAAATCTTGGTTCTAATCGTGCAAGGAATTGAGGAACTGTCTGTCTAGAGTCCCTGACATCCCGGAAATCAGTATTTTAAGAATATCTGTGGTGTAGTCCTGCTATGAAGTCTTACAACCTAAACTGGTACACGAATGCACAACGTTCCACTTTAATCTGTCTGTCCATTTGTGGCACCTAGGACTTGATTAATATAAGCTGAACAATTCAATAACTCAGTCACTCAAAAAATAAATTATTACCTGATTGCTTCGAATTGATCTTAAATGTAACAACTATCCTTCTATTTACAGAAAAGAGTTAAGAAGGCACTAGAAATACAAAAGGCAAAAAACGCAAAATTAGAAAAGTAGGTAGAGCTATTTTTATCTTTTTTTCACTGGTGCATAACTCACTTTTGTGTCACTCAATTTTGTATGAATAACTTTTAACACGTCTTACCTGGATTCTTTCAATGAATTTGATGTTATGTGAAGAATCTTTATCTACAAGCAATGACTACTTCGCAGCTGAACTAGGGCACCGAGAGTGTCAGCAGTCCTTGTGACCATAGTTTTGTGATAAATTTCTTTATTGAACTGTTGTTTTTGTTGGTCTGTGTCTGTATATGCATCACAGATGCAATACCACTAAACTACTCTAAAAAATAACTTACTTTCGAACTAGAAATAATTATATAAATGATTAAGTGTGGCTAAGTTTTCCATCAGAATACATAAACTTTCGTCTTATCTTCATGAAGTCAGTGATTTGGCTTTCCAATCGTTTTCTCTCCATCATTTCTTTCAAGCATGTGGTATAGTTTTAGTGTGTATGTTTGAAATGGATAAGTAAGAAAATTAGTTGGTGCTAAGGGATTGACCGACTGACTGATAGAATCAACGTAGAATCTCACACACAAGTGTGTCGGTTCAAGTTGTCACACTCAACAGTAGTACACAAAGAAAATCTGGATAGAAGAGGAGTGATATCAAAGTAGATAAAGTAGTGTGAGTGAATAAATAGTCTGAAGATGAAGATTGACTCAAATATTCAAGCTTTAGAAGATGTGAAGAAATGAATTGAATATACGTGGGTCATCGTGACCGTTTTCCAGCCATGTCATGAAATGTTGTCATCTTGGGGACTCCAACCAGACAGTCTATATCTCCCGATATGGCTGAGGCCAACAGTGAGAGACTTCATTGACCGGTGCCATGTCTTAGTCTTGTCCCTCTAACGTTTTTCCATCCTAATCCAACTCCCCCTAACATGATACGTCGAGGTAGGCGTTCGCTCGGCATGGGCAGTATACGTCGAAGCCATCTCAGTCGACTAAAGTTCACAAGCTGGTCAATTGACTTGCCTGTCTTGTCCTGTAAGCTGTGTCGATCAAGCTTGAGATTTTAACAACCTGAATGTAGGAAAGTTGAGAAGGAGATATGATATTATTATGCTGTCACCAAATGGTTGTACACTCTTTGAAAAATTTGCTATCAGCACTGACGGACTGAATTATGCTAACAACGACTTCATTTACAGCATCAATATGAACAAGTCTCGAATATCTGTGAAGTTAGTACTAATAAAGTCACTTAATTCAATGACGAAACACCCACAACCAAGTGTTGAAACAAGATCATTCAGAGTTAAAAATCTGTGATTGAGTTCATTTCTATTTAATCACTGTTAGTACTATTATCTTTTCTATGTAATAGACCTCACCAAAAAGTCAGTGAAGAATTACGCCGTAATAGATTTGAAGAATTCTCCTTATCTAAAAATGTCGATGAATTGAGTGCCAGTATTCGTGAATATCAAATAAAAACATCAGCATTATCAAATGCAATTCAAGGAAAGAATTAGAGATCCAGTCAGGTAAAGAAAAACGGTAAGATGTAAATATTCCCTTTATAAAAATGTGACTTTTCTCATACAAAAATTATGAATATGCAGGATTTAGGTGTCTCAGATCGATGGGTTTCTATGACCATTATAAGAATCAAGTTTTTTTTACACATTTATAGGCTATAAAAGTGATCGTAGCAGATACAGATGTCAACCACTAGTGTGGTGTACTTGTCCAAAATTCACAAGTTGACTGTCCAAGACAGAAGGGATATTGGGGAGTGTGAACAAGTAGCACAAGGTAACATGACAGTCCATCGTATGACACGGATGCTTGACTAGGAAAATATCTGGATTAAAACTAGAAGAGCCAATACCAGTGTCGAACATCTTTCAACTCCAAGCTATTGATTTTTGGAATTAATATCAACTGAGTATATTTGAATTTCAGTCAGTTCCGTGAACATTCTGATGCATAACTAAATCATCATATAAAAACAAGTATTTATAAGTGTAATTCCCTCTCTTTTCACACATCATTCAAAACCAATGAGAATTGCCTAAGGATAGTAAACAAAATGACTACTGAAGATATTATTTGAAAAACCGTGTTCGTGAGACGGTGTCACTGCAGTAGGCACCAAGGTGAAAGCTGATTTTTTGATGTACAAATCTCCGGACTAGCATTTTTAATTTTCATATAGCTAGGTGGTCCAGTCAAAAAGTCTTCTTAATGATAACTATCAGAGCAACCTCACAGGAATTGATCTTTTTGATGGCAAGATGACAAAGAAATCTAAAAAATATGGTATATTATGAACAGTTAAAAAGTGGCGGAATAGGTTTACAAGTCCATTTTGGATGTCTTGAATTGTTGCATTGGAGAAAAATGAACACTATTTAGTTTTATCAACAAATTCCCATAAGTCACTAGAATAGTTGTTTCCTTGATGCTGATTGCAGTCTGTCAACTAGGCTAAGTGAAAGCATGCTTATCTGTATAGTCTTCTAGTGTTAGAGGTCAGCAGTTAGTCGTTAGGATGCATTACTTGATATAGGCTTTGTAATTGTAGGCACTCATCAGCACAGTGTTCTTGAAACCTTGACACTGTTCATGCTCTATCACAGTAACAAACCTGTGTCATTCAGTTATAATGTAAGAAGGTTTATTACTGAGCTATTTAGGCAACAACAAAGAAGCCTTTGGGTATGATTTATTTACTTTTTGGTAAATTAACAATAAAAAAACTAGGTGTCAGAAAGTGATTATCAACAGTATGTATATATTTACTTGATAGAAATCAATCAACATTAGTTGATATGGAAAGTGAGTGCATAGTTTGAGAGATATGTGTGCATGCTATCCTAATGATAACCATACGGAGTAAGAAATCATCCACTTTATTCTCATAGTCTACTATATATGTATATTAGTATTAAGGTTGAATAACGAGGTTTGTATCAAAATGCCTGCACTTCATTTATCTCTGTATGGAAAAATACAGTAACATGAGACTATATTTGACTGCTAGTCAGTTGGCACACTGATCATCAGTGTCAGTGATATCCTGAAAGAATAAAACATAGCAAGGCAATAATTGATTAGATACGGCAAAATAAATAAACATAGCATAGCACTCTGGTATCACTGTATTTTGCAGCCGCCTCATCGTAGGCTAACAAGTGAATAAGTGGTGGTTATTGGAAAAGAAATAATAAAGATAGTTCTCGGCATTAGTACTACTAGTAGTATTCAAAATTTAATGAATTTGTTAGACAATAATAAAGCGGTTATTTACCGAAGCCGTAGATTCATTCAGTATATGAGTGCTTGTCATCCTTAACCAAAGTTTAATCACAGTTATACCGAAATAAAGTGAAGTATAGGCAATGCAAGTCGTTACTAAAGTAGATAATGGGTCGCAAAAGTTTCTTTTTGGATGCACGCTTCCTGTCTTGAATTTATAATTGACATTCCCTCTACAAAGTCTAGTCAGCCTAAATAAAGCATGTTGCATATAATTTTGTTTCTTGGCTATTTCATGCAGTAAAACAGTATTATTTAAAGACTAGTAATGCTGTGTTAACGGAAATAATGCAGTCAGTGACTGTATTCTGTATTGTACATATATGATGAAGATATGAGATGGTTAGTTGAACTTCAGCTGAATGTTGAGATAAATGAATTGAGTATTTCTGGAAGCATGGAAAAACACCAAGAGTTATCCAATTTCCTTTGAAAGGATGTCTGAATAATCGCTTAACACAGCATACAGTTTAGATTTCTGCACCAGAAGTGTTGTATTGGGTTTTGGTAACCTTCAGTAGGCAAAAAAAGAGAAGAAATGATTTTCATTAACCGTTAGTTTTTATCAACTGGAGGCTGCCAATAGTAATGAGATACAAGTGTCTTCAGCCATGGATTGTTGCATTCGGATTCCAACATTAGCCACCACCAAACAAATAGCAACATAGGGTTGGTTTATGATTGTTTAAACAGGTCAACATTAAGTCAGAAAAATGAAGTGTTCTAGAAGTAAGTACTAAATCGTCTCTAGATTTAGAAAGAGATTGCGTAACGATGGGATATGTAAGAAAAATATGAAATTCATAACAGTGATGATTAATGGGTTAAGATAAGTAACTATGAATCGGAGCAAAATATTACGAGATTTTCATGGGAAATAAGAACTGATGGTAGAAAGTTGAACCACATGATAAAAATAGTAGCAATGAGGAAAATTATAGAGAGATTATGACCACGGTAAAATAAGAGATTTGACTGTAACTGTTGGAGTGCTATACATAATTGATGAATCTACAGTCCTCTTTGGCTGTTTTGTTTAACTTTGTACAGGGCTTTGAAAGAAGAGTGTAGAGAAGCGACTTGGTTCAGGATGGAACTGTTGCTTGACACGCGTTCTTCTCTTGGCGCTCAGTTGGGATAGTACTCGAAGATGCGATTTGGAAGGTTACACTTAGTATGGCCTATATAAACAGTTCAACAAGAGCAGGCAAACCGACAGATACACATGGATGTGGTTCAAAGTGGTAGTTTTTCCTTAACCCCTTCTTAAATCAACTGTCGTCTGAAGCAGACCATTTGCAATTTAGCAGAATAGAGTGTTTTCCTAGTTACTTTAGAAAGGCAACTATTTAGTAGTTCTGCCGCGGTATCTCCGTAAATTTCAGTATTCATGAGAGACATCTAAACAATAGTAAGAACTGATTCTTGTTGCTGTTTTGGCTTCAAGTTTTCCTTCAATAATTCTTGGGGTGCATCCGTTCTGACGAATTACTTTTCAAAAATGTTCCATTTCCTCGTTTACTTTTTTTTTACCAGAGAAAAGTTTTCGCATTCTCGTGCAAAGCGAATGAATTACATTGCATTTTTTTGGTTCAGTGGTACCCACCTTGGATATTAGTGTATTGTCCATTTTAAGTCGGTTTCCCGTAGGTTCACCTTTTGAAATAAATATCAAGTAAATGATGTTCTGAGCTAATCTCAACTTCCATCATCAAAGTGGTCTTGAGTTGGTGCTAAGCGGGTTTTAGAAGAGTAGTATGAAGATCAATTTTTTCATCGCAGACGATAGAAACATCATCTATGTATATCTTGTATAGATGACAATGCTCGATAACTGGATGTAGTACAATGTTTCACGAATTTTTCATGAAGCAATCTGCTAGAAGGGGGTATAATGGTGATATCTTGGCTGGTTACTGAAAACTTCTCATCCAAAAAAAAAATATTCCCCTTGCTGAATTACTTTGTGTTAGCTATTTGTTCTCTGAAACTTTCATTTCAGTAACCTACAATGTCTTCTCGTCTTTAATCATAACTTATGATTACCACATGAAGTACTCATTTTAATTGGCTAGCGAATGGTATATAGATCTAAATTCAGTTGTACAGCTTTGTTAATGATGTTGTTGGAAAGAAGAATTCTTCGCTGACTGAATATTTTTCTCTTCTTTCACTGTAAACAGAACAGCTACTTGACTCCAGTTATCATTGTTTCTGAACGTGAAATTGATCTAATCATGACAATTTCCATCTACAAGTCAATTAATGAAACAAAACTAGCATGTTGAAGAAATGATAAATTTTTGTATCCACAGTTAATTATTTGTTCATAATTTTTAGTAATGTGATACAAAGAAGTCTCGATAAACTGCTAAAAGAGCATAAAGACAGCTTGGAGAATATGCAGAAACAACTGGAGCAAGTAAGTTACAATTGAAGACTGAAATGTGTTTAAAACAAAACTTAGTCGAACATCATCTAGTCAGTAAGAATTTGCACTGAAAAATGTGATGCAAAAATGAAGATAGGCACATTTAGATTGGTCAACCAATGACAGTTGACCTTGATCTAGTGGCTTGCGTATCTGATTGGCTCATAATATTGATCAGGTTGCTCAGTCATTTCTAAACTCTTGGAATGCTTTTTTTTTACAGTAAGATTATGATGAATTCTATGTCTATGCTTTGAGACCAATTAGTTTCCCTATTATACATTCATGCAAAGCTTATGACTTAGTTTGATAAGGGTCAAGAATGAAGCCAGGAAGATGGACCTAAGGAAATGATGTTTATATCGTGTATCTTCGTAATTCTGCACAGCCGTAGTTGTTCTGTTTAGGGAGCTCACAAGGTGTGATATTTTTGTCACTTATAGATTTTCAAATTAAGGAGGGAGATCAGTTGGTGAGAATATGAACTTGCATCGGCTGAAAAAACTTCGGAAATGTGGAGCGAATACAGTATTTGGTCTACTTTCATGTCACAAACTGATGATTTTATCAATGAAGTGCATGAAACTGTAGATAAGTTAGACATATTGAATTGAATTCATTATGTAACTGAAACTAATCAAAAGTTTGATCGTAATCATCCCCTGTTATATTGACTACGTCAATCGAGAAGTCTGCTAAAAGTATTTTTCACTGAAAGGTATGTTAGGTGAGTACATTACTTCGTTGAAGCCTATGTATTCGAACATATACAGACACCTCAAGGGGTGTCCATTATGGATGCCCACTCTTCCCATTCTCTCTCAGCTTCATCACAGACATACTTATAGAGGTTGCTCTCTCGTCATCTGACTTTACAGGGATTGATCTTCCCATAGGAGAACCCTTAGCAGATCTACCTGGATGACAAAGTTCAGTTTAGTTAATGACACTGATCATATTCAGTCTTCTGGATACCTTGCGTAACAATTTGATAATGTTTGCAACATGTTTCTCACCATAAAGGTGAAAATTGTCACTCTAGGAATGATATTCGGAGGTGCCTTGTCTAAAAATAGGAAGCCAAGTGGCTGAGCTCTGTCACCGCATCACTTATTTTTGAAGTCAGTCAAAACAGCCCTGGTGGGTCAGTGACTGACAAAATCTCTGCACGAATGCAGAAGGCTCGACTGACTTTCTCCAACAAAAGCTATTTATGGCATAACTCTGATACCCGATTGCTTGATAAGGTGGGGTGTTCTACGTTGCATTGTGTTCTGTCTCAACATATGACTGTGAAACATGACCACTGAAGGTAGACGGAGTGAAGAGGTTTCAGGTATTCGATGGGCATTGCCTTAGCAGTATAGGCCGTGTTTCGTGGTGCCACAATCTCAGTGACTAGAAGTCAAGCGTAAGGTTTCAGGGTGAAGAGAAAGGTCTATGTGTTGCATCTGCCTAGTCAGTGTCTGCCTCACCAGGTCAGACAGACAGACAAACGGAATCAACATAGAACCTCACACACAAGTGTGTCGGTTCAAGTTGTCACACTCAACAGTAGTACACAAAGAAAATCTGGATAGAAGAGGAGTGATATCAAAGTAGATAAAGTAGTGTAAGTGAATAAGATTGACTCAAATATTCAAGCTTTAGAAGATGTGAAGAAGTGAATTGAATATACGTGGGTCATCGTGACCGTTTTCCAGCCATGTCATGAAATGTTGTCATCTTGGGGACCCCAACCAGACAGTCTATATCTCCCGATATGGCTGAGGCCAACAGTGAGAGACTTCATTGACTGGTTTCACGTGGTAGTCTAACCACACTGAACCCTCTTTCAAACTGATTCAACTTCCCAGAATATTGCAAACCCACCTAGACGGTAGCGACTCGACATGCATAGCGCATGTTGAAGTCATCTCAGTCGACTAATATTAACAATCTCATCAATCGACTTGCCTGTCTTGCCTAGCATCTCCCAACATTGCTCACACAGTGTTCCCACCATACGCGGGCAATGCTGTGAAGATACCTATAGTCAAAACTCTGTAACCGCTTCATGTCTTCTACCTTCAGTGACTATGTGTCACAGGCGTATATAGGGAACAACGGATTGCAGTGTATTATACTCCCCATTTGATAGACAGTAGGATATCTCACAGTCGCACCACAGATGGCACAATTTAGCAAATGCCGAACAAGCCTTCTGTATCCGAACTGAGATCTCGTCAGCAACCAGCTCGATCTATCTGATGCAACTCCCCAAGTAAGTGAAGTGGTCGACACATTCCACCACTTCGCTCCCGACCACTAAAATGGGAGTAGCTGCAGATCAGTCCTGCAGTATAATCTTACGATTGAAATGTGAGAAACGCGTACTAAACACACTTAGGTTTTTGTTTTGACTGTTGGTCTGAGCCGCTTAGTGAAAGGTAAACTTCCCGGTTGGGTCTACATAACAACAAAAACCGGCGTTTACAGAATTTTAAGTGATACGGCTGAAGCGGTGCAGTTGCATGTGAATCATCATAGCGACTTTAAAAAAAAATTTAATCTCCCCCCTTCCTTATGTGTTCAAAAACAGTTCGTTCTTGTGCTCAGTAATGCTTATCTCATCCTGTTACCAGGGTAGGTTTCAGATCTTGTTATTCGCCCTTCATTACCCCCTTCTTTATTGTTATCTTTGCTTTAATTAAATTCCTTCTTTTACTAAGGAATGCCTTAAAAAGTAAATGTATGATCAGACTGTTCGAAATGTATGGCTCAAATACATTACATTTCTCAGACAAACTACGTATTCTAGCTGTGCTATTCAAGTGTCTAAAAGGAACTTATTGGTTGCCTGAAAGTTTTGAAGAGTTGACTACCTGTGGTAACCACTTATTCTTTCAAAAATTCGAACGTTAATACTTCTCATTAATTCAGAAACTAATTTCCCTCGTTTTCCAAGAAAATTCATTCATCTATCTTATAAATATTTACAAGTATTTTGATCAAATACATTGCCATTTCACAGCTGTATTCATCATAATTTGACATCAACAGTGAACCAAACTTGGAAATCCTCTATTGTGACTTTCACGAAGTTCAGTACTTTTCTTTTGAGACTTAAGCTGGACATCTTATAATCTTATATCCAATGTATCTTTATGCTGTGTTCAGTAGAAAAAGACGAATCGCTTCCAGTCAGTGGACTCCTTGACTTTGTGTGTGTATGGAGGTGAATGCTTCTTGGTTTTGGATTCATGAAACAACCTGAGCGAATGGTTCAAAAGTGATAGCAGTGATGCAGATCTACCCAAACCTTATCTTGACCGATAGATCACATGTAAAGTGCTTTCTCGTTTCGTCTTGGTTTTATTCCGTTTGATGTTATCCTTGCATTCTTTTGCACTTTCAGTTGTATACTACTTGTTACTACTGAGTAGCATAATCATGCTCTCCCACAATGTTAGTTAATTCACAGCTTTGATTGCTCATTTCTGTTATAATTCTATTTTGGTCATCATTTGAACATCTTACGATGATGGTACCTTTACCGTTCCATCACTGTATTGGGCTGTCTTCAAGCGTTCGTCTCTTGAAGGCTGGCTTTTCGCACACCTCTAACCTTGACCTTTTGGATATTTTCCACTGGTTTACTTTGTTGTTCATATTACTGACTCACTTCCTGTTATATACTTTTGACGGAGATTATCTCGCAGATACCTCACAATTCGATGTTTATAGTTTATTAGACATTTTTGTTCATAACACAGCACTGTACTTTACACAAATAGTGTGTCTTAGAGTTTACGCGTATCTCAAGTGGTTGGTGGTTTATTTGTCGAAAATCCCTTGGTTGTTTTGGTCTCGAATTCCCAAGGGAGAAATTCATATGACACTTCCTTCTTCTACTTGGATCATCCGATTTTTATCATGTGGCTTTCCGTGGTTTTTGAACATGTTATTTGCTATTCTCCATTGCCCTTTTATTTACCTTCTACCTCTATGTGTTGATGCGAAGTGTGGCAACCGTTATGAAAGAATGTCAAGTCTTACACCCTTGTTCTTGCGGAGATATTTATATTATAAGTTGTTACTCATCGTAGACTGACGCCAGTTGGAGGAACATAGGAAACTTGGGAGCACTGGACAGCTATTTCGTCCTAGTATGAGACTCTTCAGCAGTGCGCCCCAAGACCTCGCCTGGGATCGAACCTGCGACCTCTACGTTTTCATGGCCAGCAAGTTACTATTGAGCCACTAAATCAGCTTCCATTGGTCCATATTTTCAACTCAGGACAGGACAAGTTAAATCAATTCGGAGACTTATTTTATGTCCTGCTGTCCGTGGTGATAATTAATGTAAACACACCGAAGATCTTTGCATTGAAGGTGTGTACATTTCTCCCAATATATAATTCTAGGTAATTTAGATTAGGATGTACATTGGGAAGCTAATGCTAATAAATATGACTGGTTACACTCCATTTTTCATACAGATGTGATTGTGAAGACTATATAATGATCACCGTTAGTAGTTCAACGTGACAATATGTTGAAATTGCAGTTTACAGAATAGCTAGTAGGCACAAGCTACTTCCTTGCAACTTAATTCACTATTTCAAACATTTAAAGATTCCCAAAACACCAAAAGCATCTCAATATAAACGAAGAATATTGTTTTCAATAAATTCTCATCAGATTCTACAACTATAAAATCCATTTACACACAGTAAAATCAAGCCAATATAGGGGCAATCACACTTTCAAACTCGACTGAGATCTAACGACTGTAAGGAAATCAACTTGTCCTTCTTAAATTTCTCAATATTGGGATGATACATACACAGATGATTGATGTGATGGTGAATTAAAAGATGAGGAACAAATAAGGAAGACAGGAGTGATCTTTAGTTTACTGAATGCCAAGGGAGGAGTAACGTTGTGACCATTTCAACAGAGCTCATCTGTCATTTCATTTTACATATGAAAATGAAATCACTGATTCCATGGATGTTAAAGGATGTGCTAGTGACAAGAAAGAAAGATTCTTCTTTACTGAGAAGTATATATCCAAATACGACGTCTAAGGCACAGCATACACACCTTCTCAGCTTCGTGTCGATGAAGTGTAAACATAATATAACCAGGTGTCTGGCATTTACAGTAAGATCTATTTACTCCAAGGAGTGTGTGGAAAGGAAACTATTGTGTATCTGTGATATTCTAGGTGAAAATGGATATCCAGATAACTTGATCAATGAGAATTGATGATAGTGAAGAGGAAAGCTTTGTTTCTGCATTTACAACTCAAGGGAGAGACTCCAAATGACGTCGTATCACAACGCTTAGCTAGAGAAGTCAATAGGACGTTTTGTGCAGGTCGACTTTGTATATGTTTTAAGTGGTAGGCCAATGCTCAATCCGAGACTAAAGGATAACTCACCTAGGCTTGGCTCTTCATCCTGCATATATCAATCCAACTGTTCGTGTGGAACAAGTTACATAAGGCGTACGATTAGGCAGGTGAGTCTCCAGATACCAGAGGATTTACCGACTTGATTCAGGAAAGTCGAAGTGAAAGTGGTGAAAAGATCGATTGCAGTGCACCTAGTAGACACAGGGTATCATGTAGATACGAATAAAGCTTTCAGTGCAATACATCGTTCTCGAAAACAATGCGACGTGTAGCTCGCCAACGTCTGTTCAACTTAGTTGAGGCTGTTGCAATTAGGTTGATCCAACCTGAAGTGTGCATTCAGGAGGAACGGGTTCAGGTGTTATTCCTCACTTGGCGTTCAGTAAACTAAAGATCACTCCTGTCTTCCTTATTTGTTCCTCATCTTTTAATTCACCATCACATCAATCATCTGTGTATGTATCATCCCAATATTGAGAAATTTAAGAAGGACAAGTTGATTTCCTTACAGTCGTTAGATCTCAGTCGAGTTTGAAAGTGTAACTGTCCTAAAACTGGCTTGTTTTTGCGATGGGAAATTTCATTTTCGAACGGTTGAACCTGATAAGAATTTATTGGAAAGAATATTTTTTTGATCAGACCGTTGCTTGAAAAATATCAAGGTTTAACAACTTTTACAAAATTCATTTACATGACAAGATTTCAGTCCTTAATCGAGGGTTTTAGTTTAGAATAAACTGCAGCATTATGACCAGTTATTTCCAGAAGGATATCTTCAATTGTTTCCCTGCTGTTTTCTAAGATTGCTAGTATTTTCTATTGGAGAACTACACGTCCTTAGATTATTGCTGTGATGAGTTGAATCAGCACACTGCTGTGACACTTCCAGTCTTGTTCTAAAGATAAAGGTCACCTAAATAGTAATTACATAACAGAACAAACACATTCGTGAATTTCTGTGATTTCAGTAATTTTTTGTATGATGTAATATAGTCTCATGACAAATCAAAATGTTTTTAACCAATCTTAAGCTTTGTGAAACAGGAATTTAAAAGTTAGTTTGTTACATTAACTTTTGCTTTGTATACACTTATAAATAGATTGAAAAATCACAAGAAACCTCTAGCATCAACATAAAAGCTTATGAAGAGAAGAAAAAAATTTTAACGGCTGGTATGTCGAAAATTAGAGTTTATTCTTGAGAAATCTGATAAATTTACTCGCTGAAAACATTTTTTTTCAATGGCCACTAATTCCTGTGCAACATTCAATACTCAACAAGAGCTACATCTATTTGAATACTCGGTATTATTATCATTTATTATTTGTCCCTTGTGTTCCTGGTACAACAAACGGCTTCAGTAGCACATCAAAATTTCACTCTCTTCTCTTCATCTTTTCAACCTGCCTCCACCACTACTCACACCTTTCATTTCTTCCTCACACCATCGCCTCCTTGTCATTCCCATCAGGCTAAACGCCCAAATCCTCGTTTTCCTATTCCAGTTCCACTAGATGGCCTGGTTTGGCCTAGTGAGTGATTTCCCCCGAATGGTCTTCTCAGTGTATGCCCATCCATCTCCACTGTCGTCTTCTGCATAGTTTGTTCGGCGACAGGTTCTTGGTTGGTTCGTTGCCAGCCAGCCAGAGTTCCTCGTTGCTTATCCTTGTCATTCTGGTCATCTGATCTTCAGTGATGAGGCAGTGTAGGCATTTGTTGATGAATGTCTGTAGATTGTTGGAAGTGCTGTTCGTGACACACCAACTCTCTGAATGAAACAT